AACAAGTAATCTGAATGTGATGTGTAGTTCGAACAAAAAGCTTTGATGACCGCTACTGAAGTTTAATAACAAATAAGCACACAAAATAGAGCAAGAGCAGTATGGCGAGAAGTTTTAGGGAGTTAGTGCACGCTGAAATAAAACAGAATAGACAACAGGTGGTGGCATTGCGCATTGCATTATTTTGAAGTGTACGACCACGAAATGATTTGAAACCTCAATCCTACTATATATAATCGGCTAAGTGTGTCTGTGTGTGTTTGTGTGTGTGACCGGAAATTCGGAGCTCTAGTCACAGTAATGATAGCACCATGGTTTTTACACATATTATAGGGGGGGGATTCGGGACACAAATGGAACTGATAAAGACCGATAAGAGTTGATAAGGGGGAGAGGCTAGAAAGCGAATCGCAAATTCCGTTTCGTTCATATTTGTACTAGAGCATCCATGCTCACAATATGAGGGTTAGGGAGACATTGCTGATGGGTGATTGAGTGGTCGCAACTGATAAGGGGTGATAAGGCGAGTCAGAACGTAAAAGCGTCAATTCCATTATCTAGCTCGCCTTGACACCAGAGCATCCATACTTACAATATGAGGGTTAGGACGGGGACATTGATGATGGGTGATTGAAAGTGATCGCAACTGATAAAGGCTGCTAGGGCGGCTTTGAATACAAAAGTTACCATTCCGCTGCGCAGCCCACATTGACTCTAGAGTGCTCTTACCTACAAGCGTGCGGTAGGACGGCGCATTGTTTCGATATAACCAGTTTAACTTGAGCAGCTCTTTGGCGGATGATACATTTCACTCTAAATCTAGTATCAGGAGGGCTAGAACTCATTAATCCGCCCATTTTCAGGATTTTTGAAGAATGTGAAGCAAGGATGAGCCTTAGAGGGTCACTTATGACAAGTAGTATGTTCCAGTTCCATTTAAAGGCTAGCAGCAAAATCCTCTAAATTGTCAGGATTCAAGAAAAATGCTGAGTATCTGCAGAGTTGTGATAAATATACCAGCTCAGCTTCGCTTCCACGCGCATCCATTATGGACTTCAGCGAAAGTTAGCGGAGCTCCCATCATTTCAGGTCATTCGACTAACATATCCAACAGTAACGTGCTTTGTGGAGTAGATCAGCGGATGTTTCACAGGACCTCAAACATCGCTGAAGCTACCGTGTGATGCGCAGCGATAGCGGGCGGAGGAAAACTGGTCCGTAATAACTTCCAACCGTGAGCCTTTTGGCGGTCGGCGTTTTTATAGTGATTCTGGGAGCTTTCACAAGGTGCCACACCTCTCAACAGCTCCTATTTTCGTATCCTTCTTCAAAAGGCTCAGTCCCTAAGACACAAAGCATGTGCTTTGCCAGTTACTCTCTCACCCTTTGGTTGACAGAAGCCTTGTAACCAGCGAAACTAGTGAATGATAGACAGCCTCGTTTCTCAGGCTTACACTACGAGTCAATAGACCCCGCCCCACTATATCACGTTATCGGTACGCACGCAACAAAGCACGGGTTGCTGCCAAGAGGAATTACTGTAGATTGATCTTTGCAAAACTGACGCAATTAATCTAAGCTGGAATTGCAACCATAGCGCGAACGAGTGGCGAGTGTGCCTTCATGTAGATTCTACCCATAGCTGAAGAAAACACACCATGCAGCTTGGTGGTACTTTTTTCGTTTTTTTTTTTCAGAGCGACCACTGAAATTTGAATGCATCCGTCGAAGCATCTATCACTTTTCTGCAGAAAAAATGGCGAGCAAGCCCAACAACCCTTCGGCACTCCAAGAGCTATCCTGCTGCGGATGCGGGAGCACATGGCCACCCAAAAACGCAAAAGGTGCTGGCAGTTTCTGAAACAAACATAGTGAGGAGGAACGCGGTGAGTGCAGTGAAAGCTATCGTGACTTAGATGAAATGCCAAAGCATTCCATGCTCTTTGTCAACATCTTTGTTGTGATTACAGATATGTATTGTAGCTGGCATAATATACTGTACAATGCTGTCAATCCTACTATATATAATCGGCTAAGCGGTTGTGTGTGTGTGTGTGTGTGTCTGACCGGAAATTCATAACTTCGTTCCCTTTGGACCCAGAGCGCTCAAACTTCTAGGATATATAGGGGGCGGAGGTGAACACTGATGATGGGTGGCGGGAAGTGATAACTACTGATAGAAGCTGATAACGGGCGTCAGAATGCCGATGTCACCAACTTCCTTACGCCGTTCGCGTTGGCAGTGGATTGCTAGCACTCATGAATATTGTGTAGGGTAGGACTGGGACCCAAATGGTGAGCGAAGGAAAGTGATAGCAAATGATAAGGGCTGATAAGGGGCATCGGAATGCTAACGTCGTCAGTTTCGCAACGCCCTTTGCGTTGACCTAAGATGTTCGCACTCATGAATATTATGTGGGGTGAGGCAGGGACCAAAAGGGTGATTGGAAGAAGGTGGTAGCAACTGATAAGAACTGATAAGGGGCGTCAAAGTGTGGATACCACCAGTTTCGTTGCGGCTTTCGCGGTGACATTGGAACCTTGGCTCTCACATGTGGTATAGGGGATGGGAACACGGATAGTGGGTGATCAAAAGTGATAACAACCGATAACGGTTGATAAGGAAGTTAGGATTTTGAGTACCGCTGATTTCGTTGTAGCCTTCGTGGTGACAGTAAATATTAGCTCCTACACGCTACAAGATGGGACGGAGATACGGTGAATGTGGGTGACAGAAAGGGGTATGAAAGGCAGGTGCACTAATAAAAATAGCGACAATTGAGTGTGCACTCGGTTAAACTGAACCAGATTCCTAGCACGGGAATATGTTCCATTTCCACCCTTTCATCTAAAAAAGCAAAGGAAGTTGAGCTGCTCCACTATCTGGACTTGGACTAATAGCGAATAAAATCATATTTCCAATTTCCATCATCGGTTGATGCTGATTGATTGGTTATATTTCACTTACACACCGATTCTTCAATTGTGGAAATTCTATAAACCGCTAAATCATCCGAGCTCGATATCAATGCTAAATGTTTACGAAGTCATGATAAGTACCATTTTCATTCCGCATGCTACTGCGCGCATTACGCGACAATCTTCAGCAAAATTGGACAACCTTTGAACATTCATGTGACACATCTTCCAAACATCTTACTGTTAGTTTCTCAGCCACGTGACCTAATATTCTGCAAGTTGTCCAGTTTCACTAAAGCCCACCATGTGATGCGCGCGGTTGCGTGCGGAGCTAAACTGGTTACAAATAAAGGACAATCAAGGACTGAGTACAATCGCAATGAACTTGTACGATATAAGTAGAAGTTTGAGCAACTTGCACAGATTTAGTCATGTTCCTTCCTAGAGAAATTTGCACAGTTCTGCAGCCGCTCATTACAGCAGCAAGGAAGCGAACAAAGGTGTTGAGCACGGCAAACAAGCTTTTACATCACAAACATGAAAAATCAGTGTGAAACGTTTCACGTTTCAAGTGTCAAACAACATAGCTGTCTCCTAATTAGAAAGGAAAATGATTTGCGTAGATGGTTTCAGAGCCTGTTACGGATTTCAGAGAGTCAAGGAAATTGTCTATGTCCACGAACTGTGAATCCTTTGTAGAGGCTCTCTCCACAGTCGATCACTACGTTGAAGTGAGTGGGGCGAGAGGTCGAATGCCAGTTCCTAAAGCAGATGTATACAGAAGTTCGGCACTCATATAAATGTTACACTTATTGTTAGTTTTTTCATAAGGGAGTAAACTGTTAATGAACTGTTTAGTAATCGATTGATCAGACAGCTCTCTGCGCACTATGTTTTAGATCCCGACGCAGGGACCGTTCTCGCCTTGCCTCTCGGTTGTCTCGGACATGATTTCAGTGTCTCTCGCCTCAAAAGGTGACCAGCAGGGGCTTAGCGCCGTGTTTAAACGGCTAAATTTTTATGTCGTTTGTGCAGAAGATTGCAATAAAGCTACTAGGCTGTCCCATAAGTAGTGGCGTTTTATTCGAACGCAAAATTTTCCGCCAGAATTTAAAGTTTATATAGGTTTATACAGGGGTGGCCAAAAAAAGAGACACTTTGCCCATGGCGCACATCATCGAACTTTTCGTCGCACAGGGAGCCGATGTTAATGAAAGTTTTACGGCGAAATATTCCTTAGGTGTTCCCCCGTAAGCAGAAGCAGGCCCTCCTTCACTGCCCCACCGTCTTCAGAATATGACGTCATCTGCCGTCACCGTCGAGCTCAACGAGGCTTACCGTAATCGCTCCGGCCTGAAGCTGCTACATAATTTCTTCAATGATTAACTGGTGAATAGCTTCTAAGAGACACTAGCTGTGACTGTGCAAGACCGCTTTTGACCAGCGTTTCAGGGACGTCGTAATGGTCTATGGTACCTCGACGACCTCGTTGAGCTCGTACCGTGAACCATGTTTCCGTGGGAAAATCTTCTGATGTCGTCGGTGTAGAAGGCTGTCATGTAACTTTAGATAGATTAGAATCTCTTTAATACTGAGTTGGGGCAGTCGATTTGATTCTAGCAAAGTGTGATTAATGCTGTCTGAAATGTGGAGTGAAGTGTCTCTTTTTTTGGCCACCCCTGTATATCATTGAAAGAATTGTACGCTCTATGGAAGCCTATGTTTCGCTTTCACAATCGTTGCAGAGTTTTCAAATTAGAGGCCTGCGAAATGAGGAGGTCCGGTCCGACGAAAAATTGACCAAACCGACAACTAGCTCTAACTCTTATGTTTCTCCTCTATAAGAACTCAATCAGTGATGCACCCTCTACTTGCGCACGACTTCTTCTGAACATTCTGCTACAAGGCTTACCAATAGGTCGCGTCGCTCCTTTAATA